CTAATATGTTAAAATTTTAGGTTACGATAAGCAATCGAAAATTTCAAATATGCAAAGAGAAAATTGTTCGAGAGAGCTCGTGAGAAACGAGAAATTCTCGTCGAGAGATGACACTCTCTCGTCTCGAATCTTTTTTCTAGAGAAAATGTCTATCTCGTCTCGTTCGAGACGAGACAAGACGAGACGAGAGACCAGAATCTCTCGTATCTCGGCATCACTAATCTAGACATTATCATTTACAAATTTCTAAAGAATTCAGAAAAAACTGACTATATTAATACCGTTTTTACCTAGAGATTATTGGTAATCGACCAAATATATATAGTGAGTAGTGAGTGCCCTGGGTTCAAGACATTTCAAAGAAAAACATTTCAATCGATTTTCATTGTGTAGAGTCTACTTGAAAAATTATGTCATCACAATAATTTACGTAAATTAAAATTTATAATTTTAAATGAGAACGGTTTCTCTCCAAAAAAGTTTTTACAATTTCGCTATTTTAAATGTTTTTCTCTTATGAAGTAAAAACTTGTGAACACTTAGGCCTACATTTTAAAATATTCACCTACCTGGACACTAACCTCATATTATTATGATGTTAATATAATGTTTTTGTTCTATTTAACTATACAGTGTGTTTGTTAAACATTGTTGTAGTTTTGTATTGTTGCTTGGTTCAGATAGAAAAATTCATCTTCGATTTCCAATTCTTCATCTTCATGAATCATATGAAATTTTAATTGTACAGTATAGGTACCCAAAAAAGCAAATATTTAAGCAATTAAATAAGGTGGCGCGTTCGTTCGCTTTAAAATTTTTTAACAAAAAAATATGTACATCCCTAACTTTTTCATTTTTTGAAAATGCATGATAGCACAGTTTTTATGACAAAGGTCTATATTTTTATATAATATTGCTATCATTCATTTTTAAATAAACTATAGTTAGATATTTAAATTATTATAATAAAAGTACTTTAATTTCGTCTTTGTTTAGGTGCTACAATTTTATCAAACTCTGTTAAAGACCATACTAAAAATAAAACCATAAAAAATCGAGTATGCTAGAGTCATCTTTATTGACTTCTACTAGTTTTTGATTGTGTTGATTGTTTTCCAAATTTCCTTTTAATTTTCTTTTTGAAATTTGAAGCAAAACATCTGCGGGCTCATGTTGATAGGAACTATTAATTTTATTTTCGGATAAGGAATCACTCCATAAAGGATGTCACATGTTTTTTGAAACACTCTGTATACTTATTTGGGAATAGTTTCATTATTAATCTTATAATATTTGTGCATATCTATTTTATTCATTTCGTATTTGAAAAGATATATTACGTAAGTATTCATTGAATTATAAATATCAAAATTACTACGACCACTTTAAACAAACCAAAAAATTCTGGGTTCGGACCTACTCAAGGCGCCATCTTGTTACCATCTAATGTCAGTCCAGTAGAACTATATTATTTTAAATATTTGTATGGTATTTTATCTCCTCTTCCTACTAACTTGATGGTTAAATTAGACAAAAGTTACGCAGTTTTGAGCTATTTAAAATGGTGCCAAGAAACCTTTGATATCTAGAGTGAGTTTCAATATATCGGACAAAAAATATAAATTGTAATTTATTTAAATTCATTAATTTTTTAATAAAAATTGTAATTTCTTTAAATTCATTAATTTTTTTGTCTGATATTTTGAATCTCCATATAGATATCAAAGGTTTCCTTGCACCATTTTATGAGCACAAAACTTCTGTCTGATTTAGCCAACTTTCTATTTGTTACTGTTTAAGAAATAACAAACCTGTCCCTATGAAATAATAGGGACCCCGTATACAGGAGTTCCTCAGATTTACTGAAAAGAGGAAGAAATAGTAGTTTGTGTAACAGGAGTGGATATGATGGCCATATCGCACGAAGACAAAATTTGAGCACGACTTCGTAGGCAAAGTGCTCAATCATCTGGGTGCGATGTGGACAATCTACTCGAGTTGTACAGTATATTTTTTCTACGACCCACTAACAAAAATTTACAAATAAAAAAAATATTTTAGGTTATTAAGACAAAATAAATAATTTTAAAATAATTTATGGCTTTTAATAATTTTTAAAATAAAATAAACGAAGAAAAAAGGTTCATTTTATTTTTCCCCGTCCGAGAATCGAACTCTAGTCCTCCGTGTGGAAGGCCAGAACGCTGATCAAAGGACTACCTATTCCTTTATCTTTGTTGCTTTAATATTTGTAATTAAATTGACTTCATATTTAAATTAACAAATTATTTACAATTATAGACGAAATAAAAACAGAAATGCTATTATTTATCGATTCTACACAAGAATAACCCATTTTAATGTATGTTTAATCCCAATAACTAAAAAATATACTGACAATTAGTTTGACAGAATTGTCACTTATTTAAAAAAATTAAAATAATAGCAGGCGGTTGATCAAAATACGAATGGTGATTGGTGGATTTCATTTTTTGCAGTGTTCTTATTACCTAGAATGGATATAAAATATATTTGTTCAGTTGAAGGCAATAAATAGCATACTTTTTCGTTTTGTAATCTGTGCGTAGATAAGCTAATATCCAGGTGGGTGTAGCAAACACTTTTTTATTTTTACCTTTATGAAAAAATGTTATTCTTCATAAAAGTTTTTGCAGGTTTTAAAACTAATAATAATCCAAATAGAAGTTAATTATCTCCTTGAATTGGTGAATTAATGACAAAAATGTGAAAAATAAATTAAATTATTTAACAAAGGGATATTCAATTTTTGTCTGTAAATTATTATTCTTTTTAAAACAAGCAAAAACTTTTATGAAGACTAACATTTTCTCTAAAAGTTGAAAGTTTAAAAGCGTTCTTTTTTTTTTAAAGTTTAAAAGCTTTCTTTTTTTTCAATTTATCATCGAACACTCTGTATATATTGGACTTCTACAAAAATATAAAGTACTTTTTGTTGTATTAAGTAGACAAAACCATTTTATTTATACCTAATTAGTGGCACAAATAAGATTTAAAAAAGTGTTGAAGTGGCTCAATTTTCGTTTTGAGTAGCTTCTTTTGTATCTAGTTAAATTATTTTTTTTAAAATAAAATACATCTAATTTATTATTGGTAAAAAAAGCATTAGGTTCCTGACTATGTAGTGAGCTCCATTTTTTTTTGTAACTATGTGCTAAGTACTAAGTGTCAAAAAGTTTCAAAATTAATATGCTAAATTAATGAAGACACAAAAATAACCTATAAAATTAATGTGCTAAATTAATGACGACGCAAAAATATCCTATTTTTGAAGTATTAAAAAGTTTTAGGTTCTAGGGGATCACAACAAAAAATGTTTATGAAGTGCACTATTATCGTAATTTTTTTCCTTCAAAGTTGATCTTACTTTAAAAAGACCATAAAACTATTTTTATGATCCGAGTTAATAGAAATTTTTTTAAGTTTTTTTTTTTTAGTTAGGATTATTCGAACTATTTCATAAACTACCTTTTTATTACACCCAGAATCAATTATCTTATTTTTTATTTAAAAACCTTTTTCTAAGTCTCTTAATTACAAATCCAGACAGTTCAAAGTCGTTTAAAAAAGGATATGCGAAATATTTGGACCCATTAACCTTATTTGCAGTAACATAAATAATTGTTTGATTATTAATTATGAGTATTATTTTTGTAACATTTAGCGTGTAAACGTCTATAAGTGCTAATTATAATAATTCGGTATCTTTAAAAAATGTATAATGTTCATTCTTTGATATGGCACTTGAAGCGTGTACACGCCATATATTCCGATTTCACAATCAGATAAGAGGCCAATAATAAGGCGATGAGTAAACAATTTAGCAGCCCATAAAAGAGACCTTTACAAAATATTGATCTTTCCCATTAAGATATCATGTCTAATAGATAAGGCATTTTAAATTCAGCGTGTACACGTTGAGATTTATTAATAAAGATAAAGCTGTTTTTTTTTAAATTACATTTTTTGCTTTTAAGAAAATCTGAATAGGTATAATTTGATTATATATAAAACGGAAAAACAATCAAGTTCTGTTAATTCCACTCATGATGTCTACCTTGATTCTGACTCATTTTATTTGTTTTAGTGAACATTTGTGGCTTCAATACCGAAGGTAAAATAGGTAATAACAGTATATAAATATTAATAATAATAAAATAAATAGGTAATAAAGTACAAAATTCCTGAAATGTTAAAGAATACAGATCAGAATGCATTTGGAGGAGACTCTTTATTTGTGGGGTGTGGGGTGGAATTCAAAGACGTCGCAAGTCTCCTCTTTATGATTTTTGGGAAAGGTTATACCACTAAAATGTGTGTACCTTTAAGCTCAAAATATACAAGGCGGCTTATTTGTTGGAAGATATTTTGTTTAATAAAAGTACAAAAACACCACGAACACCTTGTATTCTAAAATTTCTCAAAACAAATGTAAATATTTTCACAGTATATCGATGGTCAGTTTCCATATGTGGCTATCTACAAAATCTTAATTGTCCAGAAAATACAAAAGTAAGTTTAATACACTCCATCAAATCAGGTTTTACAAATAGCCCATTTATTAAAAACCTTGTCTTGTTTTAGAGAAATTTTGACGTTGACGCTAATCCAGGACTTGTTATGAAACAAATTAAACAAAAAAAAAGTACAGATAGCCATTTTTGACACCAATATTTTTACTAAAAATCGTAGTAATACAAAGAAACTTAAAACTAAAAATAGGAGCCAGCAAACTTGTAATTTGGGCGGGTACTTAACCGTATATCTACACTAATGTGGTATATGAGGTTATGTGAGATATTTCATTTCAATTTGAGCTTTGTCCAGGCCGTTGGAGTCTATGCCGGTTGGCGTAGCCAGGTATGGGTTGATATTTTCTGATGGCGGATTCGTCTTCTTTTTCTGTTAGAATAAGTGGGAGCAGCAATAAGTATAGACATTCGTTTTAGTATCCACCAAAACTACAAATCGGCCCCAGAACCCAATTCATTAAAAGTCCAATTTATTGTAAAAAAAGTTCTCTTCTTCAGGGTCATTAACGTCTTGCAACACAGTTTCATCCTGAATGCCTTCTCAGCTAACAAATTAGTAAAAAAGAGTCGACAGTCTTCCGATACGCTACCAGAATTGCAAATATCTATTAAATGCTTCAACTTCAATGCATAAATTGGTTTCTTTTCTGTGTGTGATGGTTTGAGACAAGCTTCCATCAAACCAACTGTAACTCGCCGTCCTCTTCGTGGAAGAATAATATTGTTGCGAAAATCTTCATCGAGGTCCGTTTTAATTTTCATTTTAAACGGGGATGGCTTCTCATATCTTATCCACTTAAATGGTGTTAGTTGCATCTTTATTTCGGTTTACCATAATTTTTTCCAGTCAAGAAAGTCGATCTCAGCTTTCTAAAAAACTTGGGATTATTTTGTTTTGCTCTTTGAGCAATTGTCACCCATTCGTGGGGTAATACTACATCTTTTGCTACTGTTTCGATTCTTGCATGGCATAGAATCACATTCCATCTGACTGTGGCCAGAAACTAGACATTTTTTATTAATTATGTTAATCTGTAAAACTTGCATTGCATAAATAAACATGGCAGCCACAAATTGATTCTTATTTTGGCCTTCACGTGTCGCTAAATAGCCTTACATTTTCGATTCTAGCAGGAAGGCTTTTTAAGTGGTCAAATAGACATGACTCTATTTCACACGGGCCACGTGAGCCTTCTACCTCAGATCACATGTAACATTTACCAATATTGTTTCCACAATTAAAAATAGTAAAATAATATGTTGCCAGCTTGGTCTTGTAAAAAAGGTGGGGTTTGTAGGATTTGTAGGTACATACAATACCTGCTACAAGTCAAAGTTAGCAGAATGTATTTTTCCAGGAGTTTCTTCTTCAGCCTTGTCCAAGTTTTTTCCTTTCTAGCCGTCTCTTTATTTTTATGTGAAGGTTGTATTGTTTAAGCATATTCGCTTTGGTTTCAGCATTGGCAGCCTCATACGATGTACATGTTGGACATTGATCCTTTCTGGGCTTATGGAATGATAAGCTCAAGTGTCTTTTAAAAATATGACGATAGTAAGACTCTTTCAGGTATTCCTGTTTTCTTTTGTACATTCATCTTTGTAATAATCTGTACATCTGCTTTATATTTAATTTCGGATCCAAATACATTTTTCTAGAATCTTTCCAAAAGTCGGAAATTTTTATTATGCTGTTTTAAAAATCTAGTGCTACATCTGGTATTTTTCTCTTATCTTCTCTCCTATCTCCTACCTTATCTTTTTCAGTAGTATTACTGGGTAGAACGCGTTTTTTATGGCGAAGTTAAAACAACCCTTTTTAATACCTAGGATATTAAGCAGCATTGTCCTACATACATTTATTCTAGAGTCTTTATTAATTTTATGGATTTGGATCTTCATAAAATTATTCATTAACGTGGCTCACAGCGCTGCCTAAATTTGGGTCCTTAAAATATTACTTGGGTATTATAAGCTAATCTTTTTCAAATTATTTTCGAAAGATGTTTCACTGGAGCAGCTAGGTAGCATACTTAATATATTCTTGCCCCTGGAGGTCATATTGCATAAAAAAGTCGCTATAATCTGTATATTTTTATTTATTAATAACTACGGACCATACACAATGGCGTTCAATATACTGCCTTATAAACAATCAAACTTACTTAAATCAGTTATGACTACTTGTTTGCACAAGTAGTTACCTGCAAAACACGCGAAAATATTATTAATATTTTTTAGTTCCAAAACTAGCTATTGGATCATAGACACTTATGAAATTAACAAAATTATTTTTTATAGTTCCAGAAGTAACTATGTAATCTTGAACACATCTGGAACGAATGAAAATATAATTTTAACAGATAGATACTTTGTAACCGATAATTTTAGCGCCTAATTCAAACGTATCGGTATGGCTGGTTTTGGAACTGACAAACAATTTCATTTTTAGCTAGACTGTGTAGATAGCTCAAAAATCAGATTTTTGTAGTTAGCCATATTTGAAACCAAACCTATATTATGACCAGTTTTCGAGATACATGGCTTTATTAATATGGATAATTGCTTATTTTAGTTATTTTTTCTTCCAACTGAAGAGCTAGATTGTCTTTATGCAGAATATACAAGTTTAATATAAGTTTTGGTGAGATGTCCATTCCGTTTAAAATATTTGTTACAGGGTGATTCACGAATAAATCACGATATAATTTTGCAAACACTCAATACCTCTAAAGTTGCTCCACCGAGAAATTATTATTTCATTGAGTTAATATCTACCCGTTTACAATTTTGAAGATAAAAGATTTAGCTATGCATACTTTTTATACAAAGTGAGACATCCAGCCACCCACAAAAATAATTATGTTTTGAAATTCTTAAAGAGGGACCTTACATTTCTTTAGAGACTTTTGAGTAAGTTAATAAATTTACATTAGATTTTAAAATATACAGGGTAATCTAACTGTTTTATAATAACCTACAAAATATATCAGTATATATCATTTTCCGATATTAGTGACAAGTTTTTATACACGGGACAATAAAATTGCAAAATTATAGTGTGATTTATTCGTGAATCATCCCATAACAGTAAATATTTTGAACTGTCTCTTTTTTGGATATCTGACCAAAACTTATATACGCTACATACAAAAGACCCTGCTGGTAGTTTTCTCATTATTAAACAATTTTAATAGACTTCAATTATGTGCTATATTGTATATTGGGTGTGTCAAAATTTTACAGGGTGATTGTCTTATTTTCTTAAATTGTATTAATTAATTGGTATTATAACATACAGGGTATTCCATTTAAAAAATTGAGAAAATAGTAACCTCGCATTTTGACACACCCAATATATAACAGCACATAATTGAAGTCTATTAAAATTGTTTAATAATGTAAAAACAATCAAATATGTATAATAGGGTGGAGCGAATTTTTTTTATTTGCTTTGGTTACATATTAGGCGCCAAAAGTTGCTCATTACTATACAGTCTTAGATTATACAAACCTTAGATGGAACATAAGACACTGCGCATAATCCCAATTCGAAATGATTCACACCCACCAATCACAGTTGAGGACATCACATGTCAGAGCGTTGTTCGTCCAAATTTAATGTGTCAATGAGAATTAATTTGGTATTTTAGTGACTTAAATCTTGGAAATGAACGTTGAAAATGCCAAGATGTGTTGTAAATAGCTTTATTTATAATAAAAGTACGAAGTGTGACGGTGATAAAGGTAATTTACATTTATTTTGGTGAATTATTTAATTTTTAAAGACTATCGACGGCATTATCTGTTTATTTGAAAATAAACAGAATCGGACTTGGTCATTGGTACAGATTATAAGTAGCAAATAAAGGTTATTATTATAACTGTTTACTATTTCTTGTTTTATGGGGAATCTTTTTTCAGAAAATATCATTACCAATTTATTCGTTTCAAACTCCACAACGGGTTTTAATAGTTTTTTTTAAAACTATTTATTTAGTATTTCTCTATAATAATATGGGATCGATCCATTTAATTTATATATTGTTTAAATATATTTATTTATAGTTAAATTTTCTTTAATATAAATACTCTCTCTCTCTTTATACAAGGTGACCCAACGAAAACTTGATGGAGGTTTTGGGTATTAATATCATGGATGTTAAAAAACGCTCGGGCAGATCGATTTTAGTTTAAGGGAGGACATCTTTTTATCATTAACTGTAATACGTAATTTCCCCTACACTCCGTTACTCTAACCAATGCAAGTTAAAAAGGGAAAGTGCCAAGTATGATACGTCATTAAAAAGATAATTTTAAGGAGAATTCGACAATATAACTATTCATTGGATTACTTTTGATTTTAACGCTCGATAGCAGCATACAAAACTATTAATTATGGTAAAGTTTGTCACTTCATTTGAAAGCTAATTATATTCGAAATTTAATGCGTAGCATATTTTTTTTATTTTGGTTGATTACACGATAAAGTTTGAGTTTGTATTCTTCGTTTGAATTCTACAATTATATAAGTTCTTGTGTCATTCAATTATATTTTGTTATGATGTTTATACAGCCCGACCGTGTTGTAACGTTGTCTGTGCCGTATAAACAGACAACACTGATAATATTCGCTTCCTGCTTGCAATAATGTAGTTATCATATGGCTGACTTGTGCAAAGCGTTTTGGAAAAAGTTCGATAGTCCATATCACAAAGCACATAGAGGTTCCACGTGAATAACCAAGGTCAAAACCGACAACTGACATTTTTTATGCTATTTGCTCGAAACACTAGATGGAGCTACAGGTGAAATTGTGTGTTCTGGTTTTTTTTATGGGTGAAACTTAACCAAAAAAGCCAAAGATTATAACGTGTAGTTATGTTTTTGTATTCCATTTTTTCGTCTGATTTTAGTGGTTTTTTTGTTGGCTTTGGCTTTTGATTTTTGTTTATAGTGCCTTCTTAGTTATTTGCAAAATTGTGATGTTTTGTTTCTGTATTTCCTACTATGTTTTGCAATAATTTTGTTGCTACGTTAAGCATTTGGAGAAAAACTTCATTGATTCATCATGCATCAAAAATCGACAAAAACTTAGTTGGCTGCTGTTCAGCTTTAAATAGTTGTCATAACTGTCAGAATATTATAGTTTTTTATATTTTTAAAGTTGTTTTCATTCGTACTTTGATAAAAATCGAAATTTCCTTGAAATATTATTTTAATAAGACATGCCAAATTATAATAAATAATATGAATACTGACAGTAGCTAAAAAAAAGTAGATTTGTTGCCGGTAAGTTCAAGAAAAAGTATGAATTTAGAACTCTAAATATAATAATTGAGTAAATATTTTTTTTGTAAATGGGTACTAATTACTTCTTATTATATCAACATAACAAGTCAGACTTGCAATAAAAGGAAGGGGAAGGAATTTAGGGTTGGGAAGAAGTAACTTCTCATTTTATATTTGAGGAAAAATCGTACGAAGACCATATAGTCAGCTGGAAAGAAGAGCAAGTAAGTTGAAGTATAGTGTGAAGATGCTATGTAAAAAAATACCTGATAGCAATGTCCATTTTATTTGAGTCTCCTTTCATTGGCTGGGACTGTGGAAGCAGTGTTGCCAGAATATATTTTTGTAATGTACCAGATTTATCTAAAAAATGTACCAGATTTCATGAAAATGTACTAGATTCTATAAAATTACCAGATTTTTCTAATTATGAAGTATGGTCATTAAAGACCAAAAAAAGGTTTATAGAGAACACGAACACAACAATTTTGAACAATATTTTATCTCTCGACAAATTTCTGACACTA